CAAACGCACTTGCTAGATTGCGACTCCCCGTCAATACAGTCCCCGCTGCACCCCTCAAGGCCTAGCAACATGCTGAACTCGTTGCACACTTCAGCCTCCTACGGACGTATCCTTCACATGCCGAAGAGAAAGTTTCAATGCTCCATGGCGCCGAGTTTCGGTCGCCTTGGGATGGCTACGAACATTCCATCGTCCGCATACAAGCCCATGCATGAGTACCAAATTCTTCGAGTTAGCAATTCCCCTCACCTCTGTGAGCTTTGCATAACTCTTTTGGTCATTGAGCAACTCATTCCACCTTGGATGGTCTCATCCTTTACCAAGCACCTCGCTTGCCTTGAGCACCATCAAGTATCTTTGTCAACGTTGAGTCGTAGCTCAAACTCAGCCATCCCAACCTTTGTGCGCTCCACATTTTTCCAAGCTTGCCTGTTCTCGTGGTGCCTCTTGCGCGAAGGGTTGGCCATTCCTCTGAATGCCAATCTCAGATGCCCGCTCATCTGAGCGACTCCTTTTCCCTACATCTCCATGCCCGTTTTCCCCCAAACGGTCGCGCGTGTGCTGACTGCCCTCAACGCAGTCCCGCTAGGTCCCCCACGTTTGCATGCTAAATGTTTCTATGAGTGCTTGTCCCGCTCTGATACCATCTGTCACGAACTTAGCTGGTTTTGCCTAAGTCGTGCGGCACCCTTGCGAGTCCATCCGCAAAGGTCAGCCTCCCCGAAGCCTCCCATTGTCCCTTAGGATCACCAAAAGAGAGAACGGGTTAGAGAGAACGCCTCAATCAGGATCCACAAGCAAACATCTCCGAAAAACACTTCATAGACAATGCAAATTATAAACAGACTTTACAAGCTCTGAACAGTGGCACAACAAAGGGTAAAATGGTCCATTACAGATCGAAAATCTCTCACACGTGTCCACATTACACAACCTTTATTTACAAGCCTAAAGAGGCTACCAACCCAACTAAAATGGGACTATTAAGCCTTCGGCCGCCCCTTTACATGCTGTACAAGGCATGAACATGCCAAAAGACACGGACATACATAAGCATTACATCAAACACCTTGTTTAGAAGTTTGTCCGTGACAGTGAGGGACTAGATCATACAGAGGTATAATCGGGAGCTACTAGAAGCTCCACTTCGGTGAACAACACGATGACAAGAAAGGCTATGGATTCAAGGAGTGAAGGCCATAGTACCGCAGAGGTGGGTCTTCCATATGTGCATCGAATTTTACATCGGATGAAAGCCTTGGTCATTAGCATATGAGGGCTGTGTTCCACCAAGGGAAAAGTTCGAATGCAAGTACCAGTGAATCCCATGGGAGGGACTTGATCATGTAGAGGTATGATCGAAGCAGTTGGAGAGTTGGACTGCTCCAGAGCCCATATTCACCTAAGGGAGCCCGGCAAGTCAGAGGACAAGGTCGAGTAAGCGAATGTTGCTACTAAGGAAGCTAAGGAGAACAAAATCGGTGCAAACCCTATAACGTGATGGCAGAGGCCATGCATGGGAGTTGCAGTCTGTCTTTCTATCGACCAAAGGGAGCTGCTTGGAGAATACAAAGGTGTTGAAGTAGGGGGTCGAAAGGGGCGAGGAAGTGACGACGAGTCCAGAGGGACTTAGCTACCCAAAATTAAGCATCAGTTAGAATGAAGGTGGACTCAGAGGAGTGCCACAGAGACATATCTACTGATCGTGAAGAAAAGGGATGTAGATGCGAGGCGACGGATAGTAAGGTCATGGGCATGGCAGCGTCATGGTACTACAGAGGCGGGACTTCCATGAAAGTCATTGATCCCTTGCTCTCATGGAAGGAGAGCGCTTGGTCGTGAAAGGGGCTGAGGAGGTAGAGCATGCAGAGGCAAACTCCAAGTACCGAGACAAGGCTGAAGGGCAGAGGCCAAGGAACTTCGTAAGACCGGTGTCAACGAGCTTCTCATCAAGATAGCCGAAAGTGAAGGACTTCGAGTCATGCAAAGGGTGCACGACTAAGGAACGAAGCAGGCAGTACGTGGTGCCGTACCTTTGCTACTCAGTGGAGTAGGCGGTAGGGTTGATGGAGAAGACGGTACAATCCCAAAGGCGATCAAATCTATTAGAGAATTACTCCAAGTTAGGGTGAAAACTTCCTGCATTCCAGAAGTTCAATGGCATTGAGAAGATAAATCACAGTAGCAAACTCAATGCAAAGAGTGCAAACACTTCGAGTGCTTCAGAAGTGTGAGCAAAGAGCAGGCGAAGGTTAGTAACCAGCTCGTTGCATGGAGTACAACCCTTAAGGAGGCGGGCAAAGTCAAGTAACTACTGCATTCTCAACTCTTAAGAGAATGGGTAAAACTGAGTACCCCAATTCTCTTATCTATCAAGCAGAGGAGTGCTGCACAGGTTCAAAGACCCTTCGAAGATAATGGAAGACAATAGTTATCAAATCCTCACCAATGGTGATCAGTACTACTGAGAGTAGATTATCTGCTTCATTTCCCAACAAAATGCCAATCGAAAGCGGAAGTGATGCGAATATACTTGGAAGTGACAACTAAATGAAAGAAGAGTCGATGGACATTTTATGGAGGAAGGACCCAAAACTTCGAAAGTTTATGATGCGATGCTCGTTAAAGCTCCAACAAGCATCCACTCAGTTCAAGCAGCATGTGATATTTGAGAGATTGGCGCATAGTAAGGATGATCTTTTCTTTCATTTGGAGTATCCGCAGGAATCAACAAAGATCAACACAACTCAGCCAACCCCACACTAGAGTCAAAGTTATTGACAAGTTGAAACAGCATAGCGGATCAAAAGGTTCGACTACTTAAAAGCAGTAGCGGAGAGCAATTGGGAGCCAAGAGGCGTATTGCAGTTGGAGCAAAAGATTGAAGACTCAGCAAAGGCGAGGAGTTGCAGTGTCGGCAAAGGCTTCGATGAGGACGTCGAAGGAATAAGTGGGAGAGAATGCACGGCCAAACTTCTAAACAGAATGTTTGATGTAATGCTTATGTATGTCCGTGTCTTTTGGTATGTTCATGCTTTGCACAGCATGTAGAGGGACGGTCGAAGGTTTAATAGTCACATTTTAGTTGGGTTAGTGGCCGCTTTAGGCTTGTAAATAAAGGTTGTGTCATGTGGACACTTGTGAGAGATTTTCGATCTGTAGTGGACCATTTTGACCCTTTGTTGTGCAACTGTTCAGAGCTTGTAAAGTTTGTTTATAATTTACATTGTCTATGAAGTGTTTCCTGGAATATTTGCTTGTGGATCCCGAGTGAGATGTTTTCTCTAACCCGTTTTCTCTTTTGTGGGTTTTGTGGGTCTTAAGGGACCATGGGAGGCTTCGGGGAGGCTGACCTTTGCCTGCTCTTTGCTCATGCTTCTGAAGTACTCAAAGTGTTTGCACTCTTTGCATTGAGTTAGCTACTGTGATTCACCTTCTCAATGTCATCGAACTTCTGGAATGCAGGAAGTTTTCACCCCAACTTGGAATAATTCTCTAATAGATTTGGTCGCCTCTGAGATTGTACCGTCTTCTCCATCAACCCTCCCGCCTACTCCATTGAGTAGCAAAGGTATAGCACCACGTACTGCTTGCTTCGTTCTTTAGTCGTGCACCCTTTGCATGACCCGAAGCCCTTCACTTTCGGCTATCTTAATGAGAAGCTCGTTGATACCGGTCTTACGAAGTTCCTTGGCCTCTGCCCTTCAGTCTTGTCTTGGTACTTAGAGTTTACCTCTACATGCTCCACCTCCTCAGCCCCTTTCACGACCAAGCGCTCTCCCTCCATGAGAGTAAAGGATCAATAACTTTTACAAAAGTCCCACCTCTGCGATACTATGGCACTGCCATGCCCATGGCCCTACTATCCGTCACCTCGCATCTGCATCCCTTTTCTTCACGATCAGTAGATATGTCTCTGTGGCACTCCTCCGAGTCCACCTCTATTCTAACTGATGCTTGATTTTGGGTAACTAAGTCCCTTTGGACTCGTCGTTACTTCCTCGCCCCTTTCGACCCCCTGCTTCAACACTTCTGTGTTCTCTAAGTAGCTCCCTTTGGTCGATGGAAAGACAGACTGCAACTCCCATGTATGGCCTCTGCCATCACGTTGTAGGGTTTGCACCGATTCTGTTCTCCTTAGCTTCCTTGGTAGCAACGTTCGCTTACTCGACCTTGTCCTCTGACTTGCCGGGTTCCCTTAAGCGAATATGGGCTCTGGAGCAGTCCAACTCTCCAGCTGCAGCTGCTTCGATCATACCTCTGCATGATCAAGTCCCTCCCATAGGACTCACTGGTACTTGCATTCGAACTTTTCCCTTGGTGAAACATAGCCCCCATATGTTGATGACCAAGGCTTTCATTCGATGCAAAATTCGATGCACACACGGAAGATCCGCCTTTGCGGTACTATGGCCTTCACTCCTTGAATCCATAGCCCTTCTTGCCATCGTGTTGTTTATCGAAATTACATACGATAAGTCATTTGTAATGTTTTATATCTATAATATTTTTCTCCTTTATGCCAGTGCAGTATTGCATGTTGTTCATTTTCTTAATTTTTTAAGATTTCATCTATTGCCATATCCTTGCAACCCCTCCCTGGTACTGTTTATGGCTTCATGCTTAAATTATTACTTGTAAACAAATAAACTTCAGCATATCTAAAGAAATAGGACTAACAAAAACATTTAAGGAATAAAAAAAGGATTATCTTGATAGAGCTATTATACACAGCCTTGTCCCTGCAAGTAAAAAGACAAATTTCCTTGACTGGAACCCTGCTCACACAGGTCATAAAGGAGTAATTTTATAATGGCACAATGCTCACCCTCATCAAAAAGATATGGATGACATTAAACAAATCTTTTGATGAGGCAAAGCAAGCAAACCTCAAGACACAGAATGAAAGAAGAGAAGAAAAATCCTCTGCACGAAGACATGGAGAGTATAAAAGCAGCATCCTACATAAAGAAGCATACTAAAAGCTTAACACTATGTACCTTAAGTCGCTCATGCCCTTCACGGATGGTTTTACCGTTTCTCTTTTTCCTCCATGAGTGGCCATCATTACGAAAATAACGAAGCACTCTGCGGTTGAAAAGAAACAAAGAACCACCTGTCAAGAACAAGAAAGTCGAATCAGAAAATTGAAAAGATAGAGGGCTGAAGACCCTTAATCAAGCACATTAGAACACTGTAGGTATAAGATTCAACAGAATGCATCGATTACTAGGTGGCTTCTGGGGAGGCTTCTGAGTGATCTCAAACGTCTCATGATTCTGCAGAATAAACAAGACTTCTACTGGCTTCAACCACCGGAACTGAGTTTCTTTACTTAACTTATTGATATCAAAGTCTGTAACTGCACAAAAGAGATGAAGCAGCTTAAGTCTGTTCCTGCCTTGCTTTTCACGTAAAAATCATATGAGATAGAGAAGATTCTAAGACACTTTTTGACACAAAATTGACCATTCAGAGGCAATAAAAGCAGAATCAACAAGTGTATTCATAGCCAGAATATTCCCAGAGACACGATCACAGCTAAAAATTTGCCATCAGCAGTCCATTCTTTCCACATGAACCAGAAGAAGATAAGTCATACAACTCCACTCTCATCAAGAAACAAGAAACCCAATCAGCAAAAAGTCAAAAAAGCCGAAATGTAAGCTTAAAGCTCCAATCTTGCAGGGGGGATAGCAATCAAGAACCAATCTTTTCACAAAGAAGAACTTATCCGGTATCACACAACTAAAACGGAACCAAGATTCCTTCTTTTTATAAAAAAAGTTAAGACAGTTAGAAGAACAATTACCGCTTAAAATCAAAGGAGAGAAAGTAAAGGAAAAGGCAAACAAAAGAAGGAAAACCCAAAATCAATCCGAACGCACCTCGCTGCATCATATCAGTCCTCCTTCGTGGGACCCGAGATCGAATCAAATCGGAAGGAACTCTCAGGTTTCAACCTTGGAGAAGGAAGCAACTCCGAAGGCAGCAACAGTCGGAGAGACCGCCGGCGGTGAACCACGGCGATGAGCGGAGAGCGGCGAAGTGCCAAAGAAGCACGGAAGCAGGAGAAAGAAAATACAAAACCCGAAGTATATATCTCTCTCGGTTTCAGATGTGAAAGGAATGGAGTAGAGAGATGAAGAAGAAGAAGAGGGAAGAGAGACTGGGAGGGGAGGGGAAACAGACAACGGCAGGAGAGAGATGCCCGCGGTCGCTTCTTTACAGTATTGACGACGGTATGTTGACCCAAAACGGGTCGTGCATTTTGATGCACTGATTTGCCACTATTCCATATATTGTTGTGAGACAATATTTATATATAGTATGCTTACCCCCAAAAATTCAAATTTATCATATTATATACATACATACATACATACATACATATATATATATATATATATATATATATATATATATATATATATATATATATAATTAAACATATGGATATATCATCATAATTAGTGTTCATGAATTGATCATCAGGGCAATGAGATTTGAATTTACCTAACTTGTTGATGCTCTTTAGTTTAGAAATGATTACTATAAATATTACACATCAAATTGGATGGGTTCTTTTTTTTTTAACTTCATTGGTGTAATGCAATCTTTTGATCTTCAACTCTCTTCCAATCTTCTTTAGGTACTTTATTTTTTCTCCAACATCAAAGTTTGACTCTGTGAAGGAACACAAAAAGATAGAAAAAAATAAAAAAATGAACATTAGTGTAATTTGTAAAGGGTATTTATTTATATATTTAATTTTTATTTTTTATTTTTTTCAAACTCACTGGTAATGATGGTGGGTAATATACAAATGGTAATGAGGATGAGATAGGTAGAGGATCTAAATATTTGAAAGTACATATATATATATATATATATATATATATATATATATATATATATATAATTTTTTTTTTTCAGAAATTATGAAAGAATAGATATGTAAAAGCATGTTATATAATTGTAAATAGAGCAACCATGTAAGGGGCAATACATGAAAGAGCCTTAGTTTTATAAGAATGTATTCCATATCCTAACTTAAATTTAAAGGAACAAATACAAAAATTTTTGTTCTTATTTAGTCTACTCTTGTCTCTTATCCCCATAATTAAAGCAGAAAAAAACAGGGAATGACAACCCAAAAGGTAATAAGAGCATGTTGGGCACATGCTCTAATGTTCTGTCCATCAAAGTGAAAGACAAATAGACATGTTTTAAGGATGTGAGTCTGATCTACAAAATTTGCTTCTTCTTCTTTACCCTTCATCCAGTCTGAAAATAAAGAATTGATTAGTGAATGGGATTAGGGGTACATAGAAATCAAAACTCAACATATATTTGTAAGCAAGTGATATTAAAATATTTCTACATAGGTAACTTATATGAGCATTTTAAAAGGATTAGAGGAATAATGATATATATAACAAGAAATTGGAGACTATTATGTAAATTTGGATACACATAAAAATTTCTTCTTTTGTTACCCTTCCTCCATTATAGAAGAAGGAAAAAAAATATATGTTTATGGATCGAGGGGAATTTATAATTTATTATAATAATTTATATCAATAATGGATAAATTTATTACTCACTCATACTATAAATCTATATGGTATATGTATTTTGCTAATGATATTATCTTAATTGGTGACAATTTAAGTAGAATTAATTATAAACTCGAGTTTTAGATCAGGTAGAATTAAGATTGAATGCATAAAATATAATATTAGTGATTTTAGAAATAAACAAGAGAATATAATTAAGTTGGAAGGATAATAAGTTTTTTAAGTAAAAGCTTTATTTGTTTTAGATCAATTATTCAACTTAGACGAAGATATCGATGAAAATATTATTCATATAATAAAAGCATGATAGTTAAAATGATAAGAGGGCATCATGAGTTTTGTATGATCATCGGATATCTTTGTGATTAAAAAAAAAAATAAGATAATTGTGAGACTAATAATGTTTTATGGATCTGCGTGTTCGACAATTAAAAAACAACATATATAAAAAATTTATATTATCAAAATGAGAAATACTTTTATTCATAAAGAACTAACTATATATTACTTTCATAAATAATAAGACGAGAAAAAATTATTTAAGATTATATGAACATATGCTAAGGAAACATTCAAATACAACAAACAGAAAATAAAAAATAATTAATATTAGTGATATGAAAAAAGATAAAAAAAAATCTAAAATAATTATAAATATTTTAAACTTAACTAAACATATGAATTCATAGTTTTATTGTTATTACAATAATTGGATCTCATGATTTGCTATAATAATGGAGTGCAATTCATTGAGAAATGTTTTTTTTTACAAAAGTTCGTTATAAGCAATTCATTATTGTCGAAAGTTCATCATGTCTATTTCAATAATTCTCATCGACTGACATCTGACAAGGACATCAGAATAGACACCTGTCCTTCAAAAGACATCATTATCCTCCAAAGAGCAGTCTAAGTTAGCTTAGTGTATGACATGTACATTATGGCGATTAAATGGGTCAATTTGGTGGACAATGATGTCTTAAAAAAGATTCTCCAAAGCCATATATGTATTGGTAGAATGTCACATCACATACACTAATAAGGCAAATGTGCACATATATATATTCTTCATAAGTCTGTAGTTTTCATATTTATTCCTCTTAATGTAAGTTTAGCACATGAGAATGTATTTAATTTCTGTTAGTTAAACTATAATTTACATTAAATACCATTTAAAATACTAAAATATTTTAGGTACAATTTTTTTTTCTTTAAGAAAACTAATGTTAGTCATGGTTGAAAGTGTTTGACCTGAGTTTTTTCTGTCTAGATGTCAAGACCAGTGGCATATAGGTAGGAATATATCATGTTATATCAAATTTATAATGACAAATATGTTATTTCAAAGCTTTGCAACTATAGATATGTAAGCCCTAAGCATCATAAGATAGATCCCTTGAAGAAAATATTTTTGTTTGGGTATGCTTTGCTGCCTTCAAATTAATACAGCATAAATAATTCACCATGTTTAATCATTTGTGATTTTTGAACTAGTGGGAATTTGAGCTCCAAAATACAGAAGAAAAAAAGTTCATTTTGAATTTTGAGATGGATTCATAGTCAGCTTTGAAAAATATTTACAAAATATTAAAAAGAAAAAACATGAACTCTTCCATAAGAAATTCACTTACTGTATGATTTCACCTGCCTAACCCCTTTTCCTCCCTAATCATGATGTGATGTTTAAGCATCTCATTAAAATTTATGTATGGTTTAGTATTAGAATTATTAAATGTTTCATAATTAATAATAATAATAATAATAATTGTTGGTATGAATTGATTAGCATATCGTATGATAATTTATTTTTATGGATGATTTATCAATAAACTATTAGTAATAGAGTAGTAGTGCTAACAAAAAGTCCAATAAAATATTATAGTGTTAATTTATTTAACATTATACTACTAATATATATTTTTTTTAAAAAAATATTACTTCATGATTGTGGTTTAATAAACACATTTCAATTTGATAATGTATGTTTCATTAATATTTTACGATTAACTTTCATCAAAAGCTTAATAACATTCATAACATTGATAGGTAAGTTTATCATCAGTCTTTAAGCATATTTAGAAAACAATGAAGACAATTTTCCATAAAATCAACTGAATTCCTTTTAAATAATAGCATGCCTGTTTATTTTTTTGTTATAAGAGCTTATATTTGAATCATGTCAAAAAAATGTAATGATTTATGACCAAATTAGGCCAATCACAATATGTTTAGTATAATCTTTTTTTTTTATCAGTCTCTTAGTAATGTAAAATTTATCCTTTAATTAATTGACCTCCTTCCCCCTTCAGATAATGGCTATTTAACTTTGGCTTTGTTCATCCCTGCAACCTTGACTTAGGTGAAAGAAATGTCTATATCTGCTAGCACTTATGGCCAACCAAACACACCCCTCCCATAAAGCTGGTCCATGAAAACCATCATCACTTGTTTCAGTGACAAGTATAAAAAATGGAAACATATTCATCATCATTAATAAACATTGTTTTGGTTGGACTTCATCTCTACTGATGTAGCAATTTCTTTCCCACAAGTAATGCAAATGGGGTCTGATGATGATGATGGAGCTTTGTCTTCAACAAAGAGTGGTTGATTAAAAAAGGAAATAAAAAAAGCAGTCCAACTATGTGAGAATATCGAGGGAAAGAGACTAGCACCCATTAAAACAACATGTCAACAAAGTTGATCATCATCATCCACAAAACACCATTAGGTTCAGCTTTTTTCACCCACAGAGGCAGCATTTTTGTTTCCACATAGTGGGGACATATGAGCCAGTCTTCTTCCATCAAGTACGTTCTGAAGAGTCTTCTTCTATGACAAAGAAGGCGATAATTAAACAACAGTAAAACTTTCTGGGAAGGACACTCATAAATGTTCTTCTAGAAAAAGATAGATAGCAATAAACAGTATGTATAATCATCAGCAAACAATGAATGGTTGGGGTTAGGTTTCATCCCCAGTCGAGTGCATTTTCTTTCCACGAGTAATGCATGAGCCAATGAAATCTTGTCTTCCATGAAATAATTTTTTTTTTGTTTTCAGATCTATCCCATACTGCTCAAAACAGTGAAGAAAGAACACTCTGATGGCACTCATATCTGGGAAAAAAGACTAATGTTCAGCAAGCAAGACAGGCCACCGACGAACATGATTAGGGTTAGATTCTTCTCCCCGGTGATCGTACATCATTTTCTTCAGAGCTATGCCACACTGTCCAAAACAGTGACAAAAGAACAGTATACAACAATCCGAGTGAGGGAAAAAAAGACTTATCTATACTGATGAAGAAAAATATGCTGCAAACAAGCATGATTAAGGCGAAGAAAGAACAATAAGACAACGGTCCACTTCTGCTACAATAGCAAGTGTTCCAATGGGGAGAAGAGCTCGGTATCCATCAAGAAAAACGAAGGAATCCCTCGTCTTGTGGCCCAGTCAAGGTCGCTCTCGCGGTCGGTCGAAAATGAAGGCTTCTCTGAATTCCATGGTGGAAAACATGGTTCAGACTGTCCCAAAGTTTGTTTGCACATCACAATCAGATTGTCGAGTAGACGACCGTAATACCTCTCGATGGCCTACTTATCGTCCTATGATATTAATTATATTAAGCTTCATGCGTTCGTTTCATCATCAACTTGTTCTTCGGGAGTG